CCTGACTTGGTAACAAACCAGCAGCCCTTCAGTTTGCAGGACAATGCCCAACCAACTGAGCTATACCAGTCAGTGCTCTACCTCTTGGTTTTGATTACCCTGGTCCACTTCCCTCCTGCCCACCTCTTTCCAGTGTTGCTTCTGGTTTTATGTTGTTTGCTTATTCATTCAGTAACCTGCTTGGGCTAATTCTGTGAAATCTATTTCCCTTGTACCATGCAGTTTGTAATATGACTGCTCAGTTTTATCCTTATTGTTATTTTTAGTTGACTTTTTAACATTAAATTTATTGGGGTTACATTGGTTAATAAGATTATACAGACTTCAAGTGTACAATTCTATTTCACATCATCTCTATATTTTACTGTGTACCCACCACCCAAAGTCAAATCTTCTGTCACCATTTATTCCTCTTTATTTGCCTTTTATAAAATCCTAACCCCTTCCCTCTGGTAACCACTATACTGTTGTCTGTGCCTATAAGTTTTTATTTGTCTGTTTTTATTCTTTGTTCATTTGTTGATTTCAGTTTTATATCCCACATGCAAAGGATGAAAATACTGTTTGTCCCCATATACAAAAATTAACTCAAAATGGATAAAAAACCTAAATATAAAACCTAAAACAATAAATAACACAGAAGAAAACATAGGTACTAAACTTATGCATGTTGGTCGTAGAGAGGATTTTATGAATTTGACCCCAAAGGCAAGGGAAGTAGAGGCAAAAATAAATGAATGTGATTATATCAAATAAAAAACCTTCTGCACAGCAAAATAAGTAATTTTGTTCTTATTTTAAGCCTGGTATCTTAAGGGTCATTCCTGGTCAGCAGAGTTTATTGGTCAGTTGATGGTTGGCCATAAGTTTGCGTATGCCCCCTAAGCCAGTAAGATTTCCACCCTTTGATGTTGTATCTGTGTGTGGCTTGGGGACTGCTTTCAAAGTGCAGAGAACTTGCCAGTATGTTCCATAAGCTCACAAGTACCCTCTCTGTATGCCCTAAGAGGATGCAGTTTTGTCCATGTACATAGCCTTCTGGAATACCAGGGATAACTATGATCTTTGACTTTCTCTTTCCCTGGATTTTCCTGTGAAATTTCTGACTGGTCTGCCATTTTGTTTGCCTGTACTAGTGTCATGGAACTGTTAGTTTTCTCTAATTGCTAGCCAGTATGATCTTTATTTTTTTATAACTTTTAAAAAAGATTTTATTTATTTATTTATATAGAGAAGGGAAGGTTGGGAGATAGAGAGGGAGAGAAACATCAATGTGTGGCTGCCTCTCACACGTCCCCCCACTGGGGACCTAGCCTGCAACCCAGGCATGTGCCCTGACTGGGAATCAAACCAGTGACCCCTTGATTCACGGGCCAGCACTCAATCCACTGAACCACACCAGCCAGGGTTGATTTTTATTTTCAACAATACTGCCAGGCATAGATTTCTCCATGCTCTGCTCAAAATAAAGTCACTCTCTTAGGCAGGGTCTCAGACCTGCTAATCTTCACATGCCCTCTCCTGTCTCTCCACCCTAGGGAGAGTTGGAGCAATAAGGACATAGAGGAGATATTGTTCTTCAGGTCTTGCTTATCTTACCCAGAGTCAATCCTCTGTGCTAAAGATTTGGAGCTGTAGAGGGGATTTAGAGGCCTTCATGTGCCACCACAGATAAAGTGGAATCTCTACACTACGAAATCAGACCTGAAGGAAGACAGAAGATGCTTGTCTTCATGAGCTGCCCTACCCACCCAGAATATATCTTGAACAATACAGAGCTAGTGGGGATGGAAGCAGCCCCTAGCTCAAATGTCACAGAATCCCATTGTTTTTAATGAGATTTAGTAGATTTTCTTGAATAAATTCTTCTCAATTTATTGTTTTTCATTGTTTTCTCACTATTTTTCTGGGGAGAGTTTTTGTTAAATTTATACAACCACTGTAGAAGTCCTATGTCCTATCCCATGATATTTTGGCAGCAACTGTTGAATTATTCCTATTATGTGAAAGAATCAGATTCATGAAATTTGGGAGAAAAACATAAAAAATCATATGGAAACCAGTTACTTTTGATTGTATTCCTTGGTGAGGGTTGCTGTTTGAACCCCTTACTAAGGTGGATGGTTTTGTCCTACACTGTGGGGCTCCAAGTTATTCTTTGCTTCTCTGTTAACAAGTGTTTGTCAGATTGGATAGAATTTGTGCATCTTTAGCTCAGGGAAGATTGACAATCTGATAACAAAAACTGTTCATATCATTTTATGGGGCCTAGTTAGGCTTCCCTGATCTTTGCATACACCTTTACCAGGTTCAGTGAGTATATACCCAGGTCATCTGTGGCCCAGTTCCCTGCATCTTACTATCCCCCTACTTGCCTAGATTAATTACCCCAGATATCTTTGGTTCAGCAACCATCACACAATAGACACTGCTATGAATCGTTTATGTCTCTGTCTCTCTCTTATCAGACTTGCATCCTTATTTGAGGCATAGAATCTCATGTTATCCAGAAGAGTACATGATATATTTTTGAAGTGGTAGTATTTAATAGTAATAACTAAATATTATAAAATAATACCTAAAATGAAGGGCTAACTCTGACTGTTCTAAACACTTTACATTTATTAACTCAGTATTAATAAAGCCTCACAACAACCTATGAAGGGTGTATTATTATCTCCATTTCACAGATGAAGAAACTGAGGCACAGATAACATGTAAGTAAGCTTTGCTAAACTACACCTGCTAAAACAATAATAATTTGAAAAAAAAGTCAAATGCAGAAAAGGTAGCTAATCTACCTCAAGGCTGTGATATATACAATAAAGCCCAGGGATGCAAGGGAGAATATGAAATTTGCTTATCTTACTTTGATATTGGGGAAACAATGATTTTGTGGTTCTAAAGCTTTGAAGCAGTACCATCTCTCACGAGCCACAGTCTGTGACTTTATTAAGAGAGTTTGGGGTGCTAATGGGATGGGGCTTTGAAGCAGTACCCTGCTGCTCCCTTCCAGAATTGCCAGGGAAATTTCCTGAGGGTGGGCTCCTCTGGTCATCAATCTGCTCCTTTCAAGGAGCACATGATCTCTCATGCTTGAAATCTTTTGTCATTTGAACTTCCTTCTTGGTGGTGGATCAGCCATGTGTTTCTGAGACTGCAGTTTTTATTTTCTTCTTTTAAAGTTAAAGCTAGAAAACTATGACTACCCTGAAGCCTTTTCTTTTATAATTTCTAGCTTTTTGAAAAAAGCAAGAGTAAGAAGAGTTAAATATCAATCAGACAGGCCTAAACTAAGCACATGGAGGGATGTAGGGGCAGACACTCATACCAGTGTATTCATTTCGTATCCCTGGTCACAATACCCTGACTTTTTATAGTTCACTTTCCACATGATTATACATTGCCTTTGCCATGGAAACAGCTTTTCTTACTCTCAAGTAATAATGAAGAAGAGCCTGCAGGAAGGCACTGCTCTTTCTTTGTGACTATAACCATGTTTTGACTAATTTCCAGGATCAGAGGGCACATATCATCAGGACCTTCACTCTGCCTTTCCCCCCAAAGGCCAGAGACCAAAATGCTTGTGACAGCTCAAGTATTTTCTTAGCAGTTATCTGCTGCTGCTCACTCCATCATAGAAAGAAAAACTGAAAGTGATTTTACCCTTTGGAGGTACAGTTATTTTTGGACAGGGGCAATCACAATTGTAAAATGGCTTAGTCATAGTATTTCCTCTGTCTTTAACACAGAAATGCTATGGGCTAGGGACCTGAAGCCTTCCTTCTCCTCCTGGGATACTCTCCAAAGTTCTCTTATTGAAATATCTGTCTCATATTTCCAACTCCCTCCTCCACAAATCTTCTTTCCTTATATAACTGAAGTCCATCATTCCATTTCATGTTAAACTATATGAAATATCTGACATTTGATCACTTTTTACCTACAAAATGTTTCAACCTAATCTAGTTAGAGGTTTTCTTTTGAACAGGAGAGAGAGAAACATCACAGTGAATGAGAATGAGAGACAGCACTACTTCTCAATGGACAGGGAGTGGGGCCAGAGGAAAAGGGCAGATGGGTTCCCAGCACCGTTCCCAGGTGTGGGCACTGCAGATGGTGCACAGATGCTTCAACTTCAGCCTCAATCTAAGGAGCTGGATGGAGACGGGTAGACATATGCCAGGCTCCAAGAAACATCACCTTTACTGATGAATGAGTCATGAAAACCTACAAAGTCAAAGCAGGTTGTTGTGGTTGAAAAATGCAGAACAACTGTATCTTCATCAGAGTTACAAAGCACTGCCCATGTGCACATGCAAATGAGCACTTTCAACCTGTTGTACTTCCCTTGCTTGGGCAAACCTTGTGCTTTGATTATTCTCCTCTCATGGTTTTAAGGGCAGTTGGTTTTCTAGCTTAGAAAAGTTTGCATTTCCTCACATTGTTCTCTCAGGCTGAGCATAGCTATTGCATTAGTCGAATCAAAGTAATAACAGAGCAGAACAAAACCCCAAATAGCTCTGATAGAACATGTAGAAACTAGCTGGTTGGAGAATGAATGTAACCTTTTAATCTGCTTTGGTATGGGTTCTAAGTTGATTCATGTCAGTGAATAAGAAAGCGAAGATCACAATATGAAATGGTGGACCTTTGCTTTACTTCCTTAGCATCACATTAAAGTGTGATTTATGTTGTGTTGTTTGTAGCATAGGATACAGGCTTTTATTGGGATTTATTTTAGCTAGAGGCCACTGATCTATAGAATGTTTCAGATTTTGTATTTTCTCTAGCAACCGACATGCTAAAAAGAATATAGACCTTGTGGGGGTTAAATTTTTAATACTTTTCTGCACACATTCTAAATTCTTCTAGCTCAGTTAATAATGAGATTAACAGAGAAAAATCAAAGTTTTAAAGCATGCACATGAGGAATTCACATAGGCATGAAATCTCCAAAGACAGTGAGGCAACACTGAGTATACAGGCATTTTTTTAAATGTTATTACAGAGTGTGTTCCAATTACCATCTATGGAGCAAGAGGGGATTGGAATGGGTACCTCTACCAGGCTTGCTTCCCTTCCCATCTCCGAAGCTGGCAGAATATTAGCCATTCCCCAGACACAATCCTGGGAGTTATAAGACATTTTGGACAAAAGGGGGATGGTATATTAGATTTCAGAAGTGAGAATGGATGATTTACAGGTAGTTGAGGAAGAACAGAACATACATGGCAGGAAAATTCTTGCTAGAAAACCAGAAAGTATGGGTCATAGTGAGTATCAAGCTGATAGCCTGCCTGAAGCCCTGTTGTTTACCACATTTAATGCAAATCAGGCTAAGTTGACATCCTAAGATCTCCTTCCTGAAGTAGTTTTCTCTATCTGAATCTCTAGCCCAGGAAAACAGGGGAGAGTCAAAGGCTCCCTATTAAGTCTTGTTTCTTAATAAACAGCTTAAAATCAGCATCTCAAAAGGGCAGTTTGGGGATGGCAGAATTTTGGTTTCCTTTATCCTCTTGCATCCTCATGAAGTCTCTATCAAATGGCCAGAGAAATTAGAGAAAGCACTCAATTCTGGCGCAGTATTTTGAAGGGGAACTTAAAATATTGATTTTTATGCAGGTTATTAAGAAAAGGCTCAGAAAGAACCTTTGAACCTCCCCCCTTTACTGCCTAAGAGATTAACAGGGGAAAAACCTGCTTCACAAAAAGAACCTTAGCATAATCACTTTAGCATTAGACTAGCTGACTCCAAGCAGGGACTTGTTTACTAGGTCTCCTCCCCTCCCTTGTCCCATTGTTTCTGGGTTGCCCAGCAAAAATTTACCAGCCTTATATGTTCCCCTCTTCCTCACCTATCTATAAATTGCCTACTTGCTTTAAAATCTCAGGTCGCCTCCCCACCTTTCTCCTTTGTACAAAATGACATATATACCAAATTTTGCCTATCTTTAGAATTCTCATGCTTGTATGAATTCCCCATGCACAAGTATTAAAACTTTGATTTTTCTCTTGTTAGTCTGTCACTGTTAATTTGATTATTAGCTCTGTTGGAAGAACTTAGAGGTGGGAGGGAAAGTATCTTTCTTAACCTCCACAGTTTCTATCAACTCCTGGGCTCAAAGCCTCTTTGCAATGTTAAGGAATATTGACATTTCTCAGTTTCTGGCTCTTTTTTAATGCAAACACAAATCATCCAGTGTCACATTAGTCCTCCTGATCCTGATCCTAGTTCTGCTTTAGAAAACCACACATAACTTGAACCCAGTTCTCCAGAACACTCCTGTAAAGACTGTGTAACCCAAGGCTTTCTACTCATCTCATGTCAAGATTATCACCTTTCAAGTAATAGTAGTGTTTTTTGCAGCTGTGTGTTGCACTTCAGTTAACCTCTTACTTGATTAGTTAACCAGTTTCCTTGTCTGTAAAACTGGTGTGATGATATTACCTTACAAAATTGTTAGCTATGAGTGAATATTAGGTTAGTTAAAGAGCCTGAGACAGTGACTGACACATAACAGATGCTCAGGAAGTGTTTATTACGGTCAGCTTAAAAAAAAAAAAAGCAACCCACCAATTTAAAGCATTTACTTGTTGTTAGGATTCGGAAATTGAAATTCTGTGAAATTCTACTTCACTTCACTTTGCTGCTGGTTCATTAACCATCCCAGGACTTGGAAAATCCATATCAGCGTTCCTGGGCCCCAAGCTCAAGCCTCACAGCTTCACATTGCCCCACTGGGTGCCTCTTTGTGCCTTTTATCAGCTCTCCTGCAGAACAGCTAATCTCAGTGGCTGGGACCAGTAACAGCATTACCTAGGAACTTGTTAGAAATGCAAATTCTTGGGTCACATCCAGACCTACTGAGTCAGAAACCCCCAGGGGTTGGGGCCCAGCAGGTTTTGACAAGCTCTGCAGATTATTCTGATGCACTAAGTGTGAGAACCACTGCTTTTAAGTGTGGGCCACAGAGGGAGTTAAGGGCAGGGGGGCATTCTTGGCTCCTTTCCTCTGGGGGGGGGTCCTCTTTCCTTTATCTCAAGAGGAAAAAAGTTAACCCTCTTGCTGTTGTTAGTGGGAGCTGTCAGGAAATGCCTTTCACCCAGTCACTCAGTTCCCAAAAGTTTTCCCTCTCTTCGGAGACCCTGTATTACAGCTCTAGTGAGTCCCCTTTACTCCTGTGTTTTGGGTACCAGTAGCCCACCTCTGGATGTTAGGTTTTAGGCAAGAATAACTTTTTCTTTCATCTCCCTCCCCTTGTTATTATTAGAGTCAGGCATATTTCCCCCAAAGGCTTAACTTTCCTGTCCCCTCAATATGCTTAGCCCTCTCCTTTTCCTCACCAGTGCTTGGAGCCCCAGCTCAGAGGAGGTAGAGAAAATGGGGTGAACTGGAAAAGGGGTGAACTGCAAAATGGAACAACACTGTTTTGGTGTTAATCATAGAATAATAATTTTCAGTCCAGCTTCTCATCCTAAATTTTCTTTCAGTTTGTTTTATCTGAAGCACATTATAAGTCCTGCTACTCCCTCCCCACTCCACCTCTAGGAGACAGTCTTCATAGTCTCATTAGTAGTTTTCTTTTTGAGAAGATTAAATCAGGAAATATAAAGCACACCTGAATACATTAGGTGTCCCTAGGAGGGGAGTGAAAAAGGCCAGATATGATTTTTACTTACAGTAGTTTTTATTCTTTTCAAAGTAAACAAACAGCCCCCCACAAAACAAATAATGAACAAAATACCCCCAAAATTACTTTTCTCCAGCACACTTCTGTGCCACCTACCACTCAAAAATCATATTAACTCTGCCTACTTTCCTAGAAAGTCATTCCACTTAAATATTAGCCCAGTGAATGGTGATGAGGAATGAAAATTGGATGTGTAAAACATCATATGGAATATGTATATTTAATATTTATTTTCAAAAACTTTTTACTATGTAGAATTTCAAACATATAAAAAGCATAACACTGGCTGGTATGATTCAGTGGACTGAGTGATGGCCTGTGAACCAAAGGGTCACCAGCTGGATTCCAAGTCAGGGCACATGCCTGGGTTGTGGGTCAGGTCCCCACTGAGGGACATGTGGGAGGCAACCACACATTTGAAACCAGAAAAGACACCTGCCCTTTGGTAGTGACAGGAAGACACTGGTCAGGCTGCCTGTCACTACCAAACCCAATAAGCGATGACAGTGATTGAATCTATGGATGGTTTATTCAGATGGCCAGCAATCTGAGAAGATGGTGGGTTCATACCCTAACAGACTATCTTGTATTTTCTTTCCAGGCCAATGTTTTTATATCAGGCAATAAACAAGGTGCTGTGAGGGCTTTGAGATTCAAGGAGGATTAGGTGAAAGAAGCTACAACATTGTAGTCCTGGGCAGTTAGCTGTTCCCAGGAGCGGATGGTCATCTGTCCCTCCCTGGAACAAAGGCCCGGATGCCTCCAGTTGTCCCCAGGTGGTAATTTTTAGCAATGCCCTAGGAGGTCAGCTGTTTTCCCAGGAGCCATGGTGGGCCATACATGTAGTTTCTGAGACAAAATGTTTAACATATACATTACTCACTAGGCTTATAACATTTTACCTTAAACTAGAATTTTCCAACTCTTGAGTCCCCTATTACATTGATGTTTCTTTCTCTCTCTAAAAATAAAGAAATAAAGTCTTTAAAAATAGCAGAAATTGCCATGAATAAGTTTACCTCCATCACAGTAGATTTTTGAGAATCTGTAGTATTGTAATAGAGTATAGCTAGGGGACCCCCAAACAGGGATTTGTAATGGGGTTCAGAACTCAGGGTGTCCAGGAAATATTAAAAATATATAGCATGTCCTCACCCCTACAAGTCTGAACTGGGGGATGGGACACTTGTAACAGGGCCATTGAGAGTTGTTGTGCATAGCAACAGGTTTGCAACTAACCTCAGCCATGGCCATTTAACATATCTATAGCTTTTAACTGGTTTCATGGATATGTTAAATAGCCATGGCCACTGTTTTGAGTCAGGGAGATGGGAGTGACTTCAACCCATGACTTAACTGGGAGGCAACCCCATACCTTGGTTACAGTACCTGGGTGAGAACATGGAGATGGTTGGCTCTGTGCCATGGGGCCACTCCTGCCTGGACTTATTATGGAAGGTCAGCAAAACTGGAAGAATACAGGAATGCTGGCAAGTGTGGCTGATTGTGGGAGGAGTCTGAAATGGGGCTGCCAAGGAAGATTGGTGCTGGCATTTAAACTGAGGCATGGCATGCATGCTAGGTTGGGGCCATGCAGCTTTGTGTGCTCCCTTTTGCCACGTGGCTTATGAAGCAGGAAAGACCTTGTAGGGAAGAAAAGGGGTGAAAGGACTCTTGGTGGGCCATGAGAAGGTGCCCCCCAGGTTTGGATTAAGAACTGGAAATCATGACTGTGACACAGCTGATGGTGCTGGGAACCACGGGAGGCTGACCAGCCAAACGAGGATTACTGGGAAGAACTGGGGGGCTACCTGAGCCACAAACTTCTATTTCTTTTCCTGAGATATGGTACCCCAGACTGGGCAGAAGGAGAAGAATGGACTGTGTGAGTTTGTGGGTATTCTAAGGGGCTTTGGGATCTCAATGAAGACATTAAGTCATTACTCTTAAGTCTGTATAACTTTTGAATAAATAATTCCTTTCCTTTCACCAGTCTCTGGCATTGAGAGCTATAATTTCTTGGTGGTGGGCAAGGCAAACCTAGTACAGGGGGAGCCTGGGAGAAGGAAGGGTCCATTCAGTAAGAGTATATCATCCCCGATCTCTGAGTCTCTTCTGTAACAGTATCTCTCAATATATTTGTATTATATTTTATTGGTTATGCTATTACAGTTGTCCTAATTTTTCCAACTTTGTCCACCCTCAAACCAGAAACCTCCACTCCTTTAGACAATGCTCCCATCATTGTTTCTGTGCATGGGTCATGCATGTAAGTTCTTTGGCTACTCCATTTCCTATAGTATACTTGACATTCCCATGGATATTCTGTAACTACCTATTTGTACTTCTTTTTATTTTTTATTTTTATTTTTTTAATTTTAACTTTTTATTGATTATGCCATTATATTTGTTCTATTCCCCCCTCCACCCTACATGCCCCTCCCC